AGGCGGCACAAGTTGCATAAACATTAGAGTTTAGACTTGGAGTTTAGACAGCCTGCCCACCGCCAGGCCTCACGTAAAATGTAAATATTGTTTAAAAAAATAATACATAGAGAGACAGAGAGAGAGAGAGAGAGAGAGAGAGAGAGAGAGAGAGAGCGGGTAACCCCATCGAGGCATGCCGACACCTGTCAGTATTGTCGAGTCTCGACTGCCAACACTCCCGAGTCCGATTCCCGACTCCCGACTCCCGACAGTGCCGACTGCTGAGCAGACTTCAATTCGTAATACGTAAACACGCTTTCAAATTGATGCGATAAGTAAAACGTACTATGTTTTCATACGTTATAGGGTCGGTTTGTGCCCGCCCTTATTTTTGGCATAATTCGCCAACTATATTTCACCAAAATATTTGTTGAGCTGTTTATAGTTGGACAGATTTTCTACTGTCTAAACATAACAGCTATTAATTGGGCCATACAAGGTAAATCCAAACAAAATTGGGTTTTAAAATGGGAAAACGGTTTCGAAACTGAGCGTTAACGTAGAACGTACTACGTTTTCACCAAAAGTGAAGTACGAATTGAAGTTTGCTGCCGAGTCACAGTGTCAACTGGCCAAGTGCCAAGTGCCAGCTGTTTACCGTTTAGTCTACCGACTGCTGCGAGTGACTATGTAACGGAACACGTTATGTATGTAAGGAGAGTATTTACTGAAATCAGTCAAAACACCCAAAACAGAGCAAAGGAAGTATTCACTCTAGCAGTCTAGTAGCTATTACTCATGAATATAGTTGGGAGTAGTAGAGAGTAGAGTGCTGGCAACTCTTGACACCTGCTAATGCAATTTGCGGGCTTTTCAAAAAATAAAAATATAAAAAATAGGCCAGCAGGCAGCAGGACTTTGTCTACACGGCACCCATTACTATAGAAGTATTAACGCCCGAGCCCTAATATTCCTACGTATATGAATCGAGTGAAATTGTTTTGATTTTATGTTCTAAAAAACAAATTGCCGGTTAATGAAATCACAGAACAGGACAAAATCCCTGGGACCTGAAATTTACAAACAGAACGGGACTAACAAAATTCCAGTGCACGATCATACATAGCCTTCTCTTGCATATTTTAGAAAAAGGCTGTGAAGCGATATTTTTTCATAATATTCAGGAGTATGGATCCACGAATTCACGCTCACAGGGTTAACAGAACATTGGCTCTCTCTAGTCTGAGGCGTTGTATTCTATTTCAGGTGATAGGTGTTGTATCGGTAAAATATAATTTGCGGTGTACACGCTTTATAGTTCGGTACTTGGGGCCCAAATTCGACCCTACATTTGCGAATGGACCGGATGCGGCTTTGGACACAGGCTCGGGCGTTGATAATTTTATAGTGACGGGTGTCGTATAGACAAAGTCCTGTGTCTCTCGTCTGGCTCTGATTGTTTGACAGAGGTTGAGCAAGGACACATTTTCACTTTTCTATTCGTTAGTGCTGTCTACAGTGTCTACACTCTATAGTCACTCTACACAACAGTGACTCTACTCTGTACAGTCAGTTTAGTTTTACAGTTTACAGTTTACACTTTGCACAGTACATCCACAACACTTTAGTCAACTTTTAACAGTTTACACTCTACAGTGTATCAATATTTAGTGAGTAGACTGTATTTAGAGTGTACTCAGTGTATACTGTATGAGTGTATGCAGAATTGTAGACTGTATGTAGAGTGTAGACTGTAGAGTGGTATGTACTATTATATTTATTTAGGGTTTAATACAATTTTGACGGGGGCGATAAAAAACAAAAGCATAGATTGGCCAATCATATAGCGCCCACAACTTAATATTTTGCGTACTACTCTGATATTTAACTTTAACTCTGCATAGCTCGCTCATATCAAATATGTTGACCGAGGGTTTACAGTTTACAGTGTTTACTGTTTAGAGCACTAAAAGTGAGTCACTGAGCCTGATGAGGCAGTGAGGGCTGTCCTAGCCTTCTTTTCTATTTTTTTTCATTAGTTTTGTAAAAAAAGTAAATAAATAAATATGTGTTTTGTTTTTAAAATAAAAATAAAGTGAAAATGTAATGTTGTCAAGAAATAGTCGGTGGCTATTGGTCAGTGGCCTGTGGTCTTTGGTCGTTACTTTACAGACGGATGTTTGTATTCTGTTTTGAAATTTCAAATTTGAACCTTAGCACACGAATGACAATATGACAGTCTGTGCCCACACCTGTGCCATGTCACGCATGTGGCGATGTGGTAACAACTGGTCTTCCTGGATTTTACAAAGGATATTTTTACTCAGAGTCTATATAGAGCTGTGATAAAAAATTGGGTGACTTTCAGATTTGAACTAACAAATTCCAATTTCTATCCATGCACATTTTTTTCTCTCTATTAGCTATACAATTCTTCCTTGCGGGAAACGCTCATTTTGTTGTTGCCTGGCACAGTGGAGTTCCCATTCCTCGAGGTTTCGCGTTAGTTTCTAATGTACTACTGTATAATGGAAAGTTAGCTACTATAATACTACTATACAAGGAAGAAAAAACAAAACAAAACTTAAAACTTATTTAATGAATATAATCCTGATTCAGGTGGTCACATTATGTCACATGTTCATAAATCAGAAACAACAATGACTTATGTTTCACAAATTATGGTGCTTGATTCGCCAGACCACCAGTGTAGAGGGCAAACAGGTCAACTACCAAAGTATAAAAATGAGTTGGTGGGAGAAACTCTTCAGAAGTCGCAGGACACCGGTCTGTGCCGCGTAAGTTTAAAATATGAAAGGTCTTCATCGCCTTGTATACTACAGATATCATCATCAAACAAATGGCGGGTTCTCGATGACACCGCACAACCCCAACGATCTTTGTCGGTGTATGAATTTGAAGTCAAGAAATACGAGTGGTCGAGAAATTCTCCTACTATGGAGAAATCAAAAACGACACCACAATGGTCATCTGTTCCCAGAGAAACAGCAGCACCTATCGCGATGACCGATGTTGATGGTAACAATCCAAAATGTTCTACAGATTTCCCCGTGAAGACTGTACTGCAAACGCACACGCAACAACTACTAAAAATCGCCAGGTACATTGTACCGAAAAGTTGGTCATCTAAAAATGACATGAAAAAACAACAACGTCCCGAGTAAAGTGTAAATAACAGCAACGTCTGGATACGTTGTGTATTCTACATCATGAATTTTGGCTACTAGTTCGTATCTGGTAATAATAGGGGTTCAAGCTGCCACTATTCTCAACGCACTATGATTTATAGACCGAGTCTACGAGGATTTATCAATTTTCCACAATTTATTATACATCAAACAATTACTAGTGACACGAATAAAACTCAAATCTTTTTTAAATAACGGGCTTCAAATGGCCAAACTAAAAATAGTTTGATTTTTTCTGCAAGGTGCAACAATGATGCCGTGAACTTGTGTCATCTTTGCCCTGCTTCGCAAGTCAGATATTGCCGAATATATAGCATCGTGTATGTTATTGCTGATTACTATAGACATAGTTTACGGATTATCACGTTGCAGACAAACTCTTGACTTGTATTCACGCCTGTAGCACGCGTGATGCGTGATGGCTATCACAACATTATTGCTAAATACATCTGGTGCACTAGGGCAACTTGGTACTACTCAAGCGTTCCGACACATTACATTTCGTGGCATAGTCTGCTGAGTAAAGCTAAAATGAGAATCGCATTCACGTCATACAGAACAAGATTAAACTTCGATAGGCCAATCCTGCCTTTTTCTGTATGCACGGTCTGGAAATTAGTATTTCATCAGATATCTATGTTCATGTATACTCCCGAAGGACAATCGTAGCAGAATCCGATTTATACCGAGCTCAGAATCCGAAAGTCATTGGTGTGGAGGTGTAGCTGATGGGAATTTGGACTCGTCCACAGAATACAAGATTGCAAGACACATTATACGTTCCGGGCTTAAGAAATAAATTATTCTATTTCGTGGAGTGTATGTTTTATCCATATATTGACGAAAGTATGAATGTGGGATTATGTACACTAAGTAACTGCACAGATGTCACCAAATTTCTAGGCGTCAGTTGCTGTGTACGTGCCCATTCGTACGTTCTCTCACGAAGGTGTAAGCGTACCGACACAGTCATAAACTGTTTTCAAGCATTTCAGAAGCTTGACTGTTCTTTAAGCGACTTTAAGCATTTCAGATGCTTGTGTGATACTCTGCAAGGCATTGTATATGCCGCATGACAGTTACCGAATTTTATGTTTTCCTTCAGAGCACAGTGAGCAATAATTACTGTCTCTATAATGAAACACTGCTGTTCAGGCCGGGGATACACTAGTAAGGCAACGGGTTTGAGGACGCCAGGTGGATCTAACATCAGTCCCCCTTGTGCACGGGTTTGAGGACGCCAGGTGGATCTAACATCAGTCCCCCTTGTGCACGGGTTTCTGTTTCTACCTCGAGAGTTTGGCTAAGCGAGGTGGTTTAGTATTAGCGGGAATGTCACTAAACACTTTTTAAACAAATATGCGAGCCAGAATTGTTTCCGCACGGCGCACGAAAATTAAAACAATTGCGTTTGTGCGTAGCCGTCTCAATATTTTGTACACTTGTGTGAGTCGGTCTAGACATGGAGAAAAAGAATTGTGGGCAATTGGGCATGAGTAGTATTTATAATTCACCGATTGACCAACAATAAAATGAGATGTATAAGATCCACGCTTACATCTGAAAACTAAGCGACAAATTTGCCTTCGAAAAAATAAAGATTAGGGAACCGAGTTGTTTTGCACCATTAACAACAAGATGTTCGTATCCTCGACTTCAACTGCTAAGTTGGGTGGCGTCTCACTGGGTCAAAAACGTCGGCAAGAGGTAGAACTACTGACAATCGACGTAGCCTTCAGAATGAAACATGGAGACAATTCATTTACCAATACTTTCAAGTGGAGTTATAAATTACTATTTACCAATACTTTCTAATGGAGTTATAACGTCCTCCAGAGTGTAAGCGAAACATCATCGGCTCCACAAGGAATTAAAGAATGTCCGCACTGCCGCACATGTCCGTGGACCGACTGACGCGCATTACATTCCGTTGTAGCATAGCAACCGTCACCTTGCCCACACTCTTCACAAAAATCGACGCCTTTTCCACAATATCAGGTGAGAAGTTCTGGTACGTGGCAAAGTTAATTGCTATACAGCCATCCTTAAGATCCGCGGTGTCGATCTGAGGAAGTGAATACAGCACAAAGGAGAGGATGCGTCAACAAACGTTTGGTATACAGCGGCACCAATCGTTGTTCGGAAGGACCACGTGAATAGAATCTACAACATAAGACGCAGGGATATCGGTGTGATCACACGAGTTTAAGGTATCCGCACACAGTCGAGAAACAATGCATGCTACGCACACGGTCCGGAGATACAGAGCCCAGTGCCATTAAGACGTGACGCGTGGTGTACAACATGTCACCGAACTCTTGTACGGTAACGAGCGGAACAGCTATACGCATTCATTCGAACATCGACGCCTACTCCAATCCAAAACTGTACTTAACTGTATACAAGAGCCTGCAAATATATATATAAACATGAATTTTGAGTTTGACACGCACACAGTTTAGCCGTCCGTCTTACTTTAGACACATGTCTGTGAATGTATACTAGTATTTACATACACTGGATATTTACAAACGCATCCAACTAAGAAAATAAATACATATGCATGCACAATCGCATTCGTATCTGGCTACAGATGCACGTATACCTACTGTTCCGGGATCAGAAAAGTAGCATCTACACATATATTACACAATAATCCGGGACACTCATGAATGAATATGTATACAGCTGTTATAGTCACATTTCTTATGCCAACACACAACCTATCGAGGCTGCGAATAGCGAACTTTTAAGTCAATATATTTCCTAACAGCTGTGACACTAATACACGAGTAGAACAGTGGAGACCCAAGACAACACACCCTAACAGTACACAGAACAATAACAATAGCCCGCCAACAGCTGTAGGTAACAACCGCAGATTGTAACCAACGACGGTCAAACAGGGGTTGCCTTGAGGTTCGCATTGAGCTACCGTACTCCAATTGAATACACGCACAGACTCTCGCAATATCTGTCCGCATACTCAACAAGATATGCAAGCGTACACGTTTGTGAGGAGTCTTTCTTCTTGTCTTTGTACATATATACACAACTGAGACGGGGGTTGCATTCTCGACACAAACATTGCGTATCATACCTTAAAACCCTTGACGGGCACTCCAGAGATGACCACGTCGGCATTGCCAAGAGCCGCGGACTTAGATATATCGGTCGTGGCTATCTCGTGCTTGTGCAATTTGATTCCGTTGCCGCGCGAGAACACCAGGATATCATCTACATCGATGGAATATACCTTCGCGCCGTCATTCGCACAGAGTGCGGCCAGGGGTCGTCCCACAACCTCGCTGTGGTGTGTATGTAACGTACAATGAGTGAATACGTATGTGCACATACTCAGGTGCAGCCATGTGTATGCTTGATAGAGGCCCGTGATCACGAGCGCACACATGTCTTGCCAAATGCCAGCACTGATACGCACCGCAAGCACACGTTCGCGAATAGAGCAGTCAGGGTTGGACATACAGCCTTCATACAACGCTCTGTCGCGGTAGTGCGTGTAGTGTCTTCTAATGGGCACATAGACACGTATCGACCGGGGAATACACAGAATGATCGGCCGTATATCTGACAAGAATGTTTCAACTAATAGTAAGATATATGTAAGTCTGGATCCAATATCATAGTAGGCTTCTTACGTCGCCGCTTTCTGAGTTCTGTTTCGTTGTGTGCGTACGCATAGTATTATGTATGTGTGCATAGATCGGATCCTCAACGGCGAAGCGTTTCATTGATACATATTAGTCAGAGTACTATCACAGGGATTGATTACACCACCATCAAATATAAATAAAAAATAAATAAAACAAAAAGTCGCATTCCGATAGAGCCCTGTACTGGATTTGTATGGGCTGACACATAACCGCTGAACCCTTCGAGCTTCATGATGTTGATAAACAATCTACCGATTTTATCACACACACACACACACATATATATATATAAACTGTTGAACCTACGGGGCTCATGATGTTGATAAACCATCTACCCAATTTATAGTACATACTTTAATCCTAGCGAACAGCACCGCTGGATATCAGAACCTACCTGCGGTTTACCACGGCGATGGTCTTGCCGTACATTCGATTGCCTTCGGCAAGGTTGTGATTGTATACACCCACGTACTCCAGAATCTGTGCGAACGAAGGTACTGTTTAGATTAGGACTAATTGTTTAAACTAGGATTAATCGCTGCGCTGAGAATATATTCCGTACACAAGGAGATGATCATTCTGCGCGATTCTGCGCAGCACAGTAGGAACGAATTCACTACATCACAGCACACCATTTGGGACACCCTACAATAGAGCAGATACAAAATCAATACACAGAATCCAGCCATCGGTATTGGTTTATGATACCAGTGACATGCAGACATACAAAAAATCAACACACAGAACCCCAGCCATCGGTACTGGTTTATGATACCAGTGACATGCGGACGTGATATTTGCCCAGAGGTACTGAGAGATATTTCTTGTCTGGGATATAGCAGTAGCATGCGAACGTACAATTTACTGAGAGTTTTCTCTGCGTTTGCAGTTGTAAATAAGGTTCGCACAGAACGGCCAACCAGAGCGAATACCAACCCACAACCGCATAATAAACGTAAACATTAATACAGACGGTAATTCTGCACAATCGGGTTCAGCAGGGTATCTCGCGTATTACATCATAATCTCACGGTATGTACTAAACACTATACAAATATAGAGGAAATACTATAGAAACTACATTTTACCATACAAATATAGAGAAAATGCTATAGAAACTACATTCTACCATACAAATATAAAGAAAATGCTATAGAAACTACATTAAATATAGAGGAAAAACTAGAAACTACATTTTACCATATAAATATAGAGGAAATGCTATAGAAACTACCTTCTACCATACAAATATAGAGGAAATGCTATAGAAACTACATTTTACCATACAGATATAGAGGAAATACTATAGAAACTACATTAAATATAGAGGAAATACTATAGAAACTACATTAAATATAGAGGAAATACTATAGAAACTACATTTTACCATACAAATATAGAGGAAATGCTCTAAATACTACATTT